TGCAGTTCACCTGGAGGCCGGGTTTAGGGTTTATGGCCAGTTTAGGGTTTGGGTTTAGGGTTAGGGTTTAGGGTTTAGGGTTTAGGGTTTAGGGTTTAGGGTTTAGGGTTTAGGGTTTAGGGTTTAGGGTTTAGGGTTTAGGGTTTAGGGTTTAGGGTTTAGGGTTAGGTCTGCGATGTCTAGCAGGCTTGGGAGAGATCCGGTGGAGGGGTGTAACTCTTCCCATGCGACCGCGCATGTGGGGGGGGGGGGGGGGGGGGGCTCTGGTTCACGAGATGACTGGCAGTATTGGACCTGCTTCTGCCATGATGCACCAGTTTAAAGTGCGAATCTCTTTTCGGGGATTGGAAGCAAGGCTTGTTCTGCCTGCCCTGCCTGCCGCCTGTTCACTACATATGGCCCGCTTTTCAACTACGCATGAACCTGCATGTGCTGAGAGTGGCACAGAGGACCTGGCGCGCGGCCTTGGGCGTCGGCGCAAAGGTGGTACCTGGCCCAGGGATTGCTCTGCGGGGGTTGAGGGCCAGCGCTAGCAGAGGACCTGTTTTGTATACGGGCGCATGGGTTAAGGTTGCGTATCTCGGAGCAATTTAGGAAGTTGCTATCCTGCAAAAAAAATTAAACAAAAAGCCTTGTGGTATGTTTCGTCATTCTGAGTTCAGGGGATTCCCCAAGCAAGCTTGAAGGCTCTGTGGAAGTCTGGCCGGACGCAGGTGTTTGACAGTCTTGTTTTTGTTGGGGTGAAGTGACTACCCCAGCTGGCTAAAACAGACCCCATGGTCGGTTTACTGTGTTCTTGTTGCAGGGGCTGTGGGCACCAACCACTTCTTACTATACTGTAGGGCTCTCATGAATGGCGATGATGTTCGCAGTTTCAGAAATTGCTTCATCATTATGTTTCTAAACCCTAAACCCTTAACTACAGCAACAATGAAGGGCCAAAAACCCGTTCAATCAGACTTTGGGCAGGCCCTGGGACGGCTTCGGCAGAGGCTTCGCCGGCACAGGTGCGCGCAGTGATCGTGGCCCCCAATAGGTTTCAACAAGGTTTAGGGTTTAGGGTTTAGGGTTTAGGGTTTAGGGTTTAGGGTTCAGGGTTCAGGGTTCAGGGTTTAGGGTTTAGGGTTTAGGGTTTAGGGTTTGGCGGGATTCACGCAAGCCTGTCAAAAAAGGGTTTAGGGTTCGAGTTCTGAGTCCGAAATTGTTTGTACTTTTGGGGCCGTTCATCACCACCGCTGAAGATTCGGAGTTGCCAAAAACCACGCGCCCATCGCTGCAATTCGGCTTGCTGTCATGCGATCTACTACAACACGACAAGGCCAACCAGCGAAAATGTCTTGCATTCTTGTGAGCTTTTTTGCACATTGATCTGAAGCTCAGGCCTCTCGGGACATGAGGTCAGTTCTCAAGTCCCGGATTAATTATGCTGCCTGTTATACGGCATGCGGCTTTGGCATATTTGATTCTGGGTATGTAGGAAGTGCTGTCCAGTGACTTTCCGGCTGCATCAGCCGGGGAATGAGGTCTCGCGATCGACCCGAGAAAGACAGCGGCACTCTCAGACAATCTTGCCTGGCAGAACTGTGCTTTGAACACAGCAGTTGCATAGCTGCGCAGCTGCATGTGCCGAGGCTCGATTTTCAGGCTCGACAAGGCATGCTCATGCAAGCACGAGTGCGCACACCAGCCTAAGTGAACGCAAGCCGACTGCCGGAAACACTTGCGCTTAAACATGCGCGTGGCATCGAAAGTGAGGACCACACGCCTAGTACTCACAGACGGTGGCAGAGGGTGCCCACGGTCTTCTGCAGCCATGATGGGCCTGAATGGCTGGCCGCGATTGCTGCGCCCCGTGGCGAAGCGGCGCTCCACCACCGGCCTCGTAGCCCTGAGCTTGGCTTTGAGCTCCCACTTTGTCCACATGTGCCTTGTCCAAAGTAGGTGCGACCGGAGGGCGCGTAAAGTCAATGTGTCGAAATCTTTGCAAGCTTGGGTGTCCTGCGTTGTGGCATCAAGGAGGCTTGTCTGTGGGTTGAATATCTATAATACTTGTATTAATAAACATAAGAATATTAATAGTGAACATATTTGAAAATATGAAAAATAATATTCATATTAGTAATTTCGGAGGTCCTGGAACTCCCTGCCCAGCTTCGTGGCAAGCTGGGCTCCGGCCCCTACTGCGCGGCACGCGCGGCACTCCGGCGGCAGGCGAACCCACACATTCTTAGCAGGGGATGAGGGAATTCGTGGGCCCCATATATACCCTTTAAGGAGTAGATAGGGCCTTATATCTACCCTCATAACGGAAGTATATAGGGCCCTATGTATACCCGTTTTAAAAGAGTATGTGGGACCCTCGTTCCCCCATTCCCTACTAAGACCCTAAACCCTATAAACCCTAAACCCAATAAACCCTACAAACCCTACAAACCCTCTAAACCCCAAAAACCCCATAAAACCTATAAACCCAATAAACCCTAAACCCTACAAACCCAATAAACCCAATAAACCCAATAAACCCAATAAACCCTATAAACCCTATAAACCCTATAAACCCTATAAACCCTATAAACCCTATAAACCCTATAAACCCTAAACCCTAAACCTAATTTCCCCCCCCCCCCCCCCCCCATTTCCTACGAAGAACCAGCCAGGCTACTCGCCGGCTCCCTGCGATCCGTGGCCAGCGCTGTGGAAGCCGTCCCGGCGGTGAAGACGCTGGGCGAGGCTGGGGGCCATCAGTGTAGGGTTTAGGGTTTAGGGTTTAGGGTTTAGGGTTTAGGGTTTAGGGTTTAGGGTTTAGGGTTTAGGGTTTAGGGTTTAGGGTTTAGGGTTTAGGGTTTAGGGCTACTTGGAGGTTCATGGGTAGTTATAAGTAGGGTTATCAGTAGGGTAGCTATACTTATATCCTGGCTTAGGGTAATTTACCCATGAGCCTCCACGTACTGGGCCAAAAGACCCATCAGCAAAAGCAAAACCACAAAAAGAGCACCGCTGTAAGCCCCAGGCTTTTGAAGAGCCTTTTAGGGATTAGGATTTAGGGTTTAGGGTTTAGGATTTTAGGGTTTGAGGGTTTGAGGGTTTGAGGGTTCTAGGGTTTTAGGTTTTTAGGGTTTTAGGGTTTTAGGGATTAGGGCCACCAGTTCTTACAAAGAGTATCCCTTTGTGTAGTGCTCCTCCTTGAACCTTCCGAGAACAGAGTCTCTCTTGCCAGGCAAGCCTACAAGCTCAGGCCTGCGAATGGAAATTGTTGTGACCTTGCTTTGGAGACCTCATACAATTCAAGGGGAGGCCTATAGGTTTCGATGTCCCCCCTTATACTAACAGTCTTTGATTAACAGGGATGATCATAGGGGGCACTATCATCCCCATTAAGGACTGCTAGTATAAGGGGGAACATCCCAACCCATAGGGCCCATAGGGCTCACGGACAAGTTTGCGTCCGGCGTCCCAATGGCCACAAGCCTCTAACGTCTGAGACCCAAACCCTAAACCCTAAACCCTAAACCCTAAACCCTAAACCCTAAACCCTAAACCCTAAACCCTAAACCCTAAACCCTAAACCCTAAACCCTAAACCCTAAACCCTAAACCCTAAACCCTAAACCCTAAACCCTAAACCCAAGAGCAAGGCCCCATACACTGCAGCCGGGCGTTCTCTCCTCTGCCAAGACTTTGTCCCCTGAAGCTGACCTCATCCTTGGGCGTTCAGACTTGACCCTCCCAACCCTCCACTCGAAAAAGCAGATTCGGAAGCATGTCCAACTGTTCGTAGTCGCCCTTGTGACTTGGGATTCCCCTCTGCTGCAACCCCCGTAGTGCGTTGGCTAGACGGGTGGCAAACAAAGCCGCCTGTGAACCCGAAACCCCAAAGCTTGTAGGGTTTTAGGGCCTACACCGACACCAGGCTCCTGCTACAACAAATGGGCGAAACCCAAAGCCCCGGAAACCCCAGAAATCCCCTGAAAGCTTGGAGGTTCATCTGTGCTTACAAGTACGGTCATAAATAGGGCAAGTGTAACTATATGGTTATAACCTTGTATAACCTTATTCACGGTGCTTGTTTCCCGACTTAGAAGTACCCATGAACCTCCAAGTAGCCCTAAACCCTAAACCCTAAACCCTAAACCCTAATTCAAATGTGTCAGGTGGAGGGCTTCTTCGCGAAGGCTTTGGAGGCGGTTGCTGAGGGATCCAAGGCGACCGCTGTTGAAAGCCAGCTGCGGAGTTACTTGAAGGTCTATATAGGGTTTACATAGGGTTTATAAAGGGTTCATATAGGGGTTGCATGGGTTTATATAGGGCGACTATAGGGTTTATCAAGGGTTTAGATAGGGTTTGTAGAGGGTGAATATAGGGTTCATAAAGGGTGAAGACATTTGTACAGGGCTTTTATAGGGTTTGTATAGGGTTTAGAAAGGGTGAATATAAGGCATATCAAGAGTGAAGACAGGGTTTATATAGGGTTTTTTCAAGGGGCTAATATAGGGTTCATACAGGGCTTATGTAGGGGTTTATAGAGGGCTTATATAGGGTTTATATAGGGCTTATGTAGGGTTTATAGGGTTTATATGGGGGTTTATAATATGTTTTCTTAAGGTACCAATGGGTAGATATAACTAAGGGTTATAAGTAGGATAGCTGCTTAGTTACAGCCTTTTTTAAAGGGTTTTTACAACCCTACCCATGAACCTTCAAGTTAAGGTCTTCGGGTTTGGGGAGGTCGGGGATCATCGGGTTCGGGTTGCGAGGGGTTTTGAGAGTCTTTAGGCCATTTCAGGGTTTAGGGTTTAGGGTTTAGGGTTTGGGGTTTAGGGTTTAGGGTTTAGTCTCAGGGAAGAGTATCTTGAAAGGCAGAGAGGGAAAACAGATGAAAGCGGTTTCTCGCTTCCTTTTAAGGGAGTTGGCTTTATCAACCCCATGAATCCCCCATGAATCCCACCCAATCCCCATGAATCCCCAGGCATCCCCAAACCCAAGTCTGAGAAGCTTCAGGTCATGGTGGCCCCTGCGGATCCACGCTTTGGGGACTACCAGTGTGACCCGGACCCCAGGGAGGAGCGTTTTGGGGTGGAGGGTCCGCTTTGGGGGGGGTACGTCCTGAGCTCTTGGGGTTCCTGGCTTAGGGTTTAGGGTTTAGGGTTTAGGGTTTAGGGTTTAGCTTAAAAAAGTGTTTAGGGGAACTTACGCGCTCGGAGCTCGGTGCATGAGACAAGCCTCGTCCCTCCAACCCTGAATCCAGGCAACAACGCCATGGGCCTCTTCAAGCAGAGCAAGAAGGAAGGCGGCAAGGAGGGCTGGAAAAGCCCCCGAGACGCAGCTGCAACTGTTGGAGGCCATTTACCCTAAACCCGAAACCCTAAACCTCAAACCCGAAACCCGAAACCCTACACACCTTGAAAGCTGCAACTCTTGGAGGCCATGTTGTCACGTTGGGAGCAACTCTGGGAGGCCCAGCGTCAACCCTGAAACCCTACACACCCTAAACCCTAAACCCTAAACCCTAAACCCTAAACCCTAAACCCTAAACCCTAAACCCTAAACCCTAAACCCTAAACCATGACATAGTTGTAAAAGGGTCACATCAATAACCCCCCCCGATCCTCTCCAAATCTGTTTTGCGCTCGGGGGTTTTGAGGGTGGTAAAACGAGAAGGGGTGGCAATTCAGTGTGCTCTGGGGTCTGGGAGTCGGGGGGGGGGGGGGTCTGTTGTCAAGAAACCCTAGACCCTAAACCCTAAACCCTAAACGGGGTCTGCTTTGGCTTGTTTTCCAGGGATCCGCCGGTTCTGCCTCCTGTCTGCAGCTTTTTGCTCTGCGACCGCGACCTGCTGCTCTAAAGACCGAAGTCGAAGCTTCTGGGTTTAGGGTTTAGGGTTTAGGGTTTAGGCTGTTTCTGGTCAGCTCGGCTGAAAAAGCTTCTCTGCAGTGGAACTCTTACGCAATCCGCAGTCGAAAAATAGACTTCTGGCCAACCGATTTTAGTACTTGTTGCCCCGTGAGTTTTTTTCACCGGACTCCTTATATCGATCAGTTTAGACATATGACCCCAGAACCGTCTCCTCATGGAAAGTAGTCTTGGACCGGGATCCCAGGACCGGCGGAACCTTACATTTCCAAACCCATTTACAAATGTGAGGTTAACATTACAAAGCGAAGGAAGCTGATGAAAAGCCGCATGCTACCCTACCTAGACTGGCATCGTTTCGTGCAGCGCCCGGAGGCAATACAGCACCAGCACGTCTTGAACGCCCGTCCTGAACCCTAAACCCTGAACCCTAAACCCTAAACCCCAAACCCCGTAGAGCTAGCCACAGCCGCACAGCCCAGGAGATGTCGGCGAGGCGATCAAGTCAGCACTGCCCTCGGAGGCGGCAGACCTTTTTGCAGAGGCCGGGGGTGCTGCCGTCATCTTTGCAGCTTCCAGGGTTTAGGGTTTAGGGTTTAGGGTTTAGGGTTTAGGGACTCTATGGACGCAAGGGCTTGTTGATGGGAAATTGTCGCCGGATCAGGGATGCAGAGGCTGCATATTTTGCTACAAATAGGGCTAACCCTAAACCCTAAGCCCTAAACCCTAAACCCTAAACCCTTCAGTCTTATGAGTTTTCCCGTAGCGGACCTTACTTGCACTAGATGAAGAGCGTTCTTCCAGGGCAGCGGAGCAATGCAGGGCGGTAGGAAATGTTCAGGTCAGCTCTCTTTGGGTCACGTGCCGGCATATGGGGTTTAGGGTTTAGGCTTTAGGGTTTAGGGTTTAGGGTGCAGTGGGTCCTTAGCTACCGCCTGAGTTCAAACTACATGTTCGCGACTGCAGACCATCCCAAGAGTACCAGGTCAACGTGGCGCCACAAGGCTTCATCACAGTGAAGCTGAGCTCACAGTGGCTCCACAAGCACTCCGGCTGATACCAGCGGCTTCGAATGTTTGCTTTGATGGTTCGGCTGCGCGCAGGCTTTGTCAACTGAACTGAACAAGGTAACAAGGGCTTCAGACTGTGAACTTCACTGCGCGTTTATTGCATACATGCGTGTTGCTATGGGGCTCTCTCGTTGTTGTCCTCGTCATTATGTTGTGTGTTTGATCTCTGCTTCTATCCCTTTTTCATTTGTTTCTTCCTGCTGGTTCTGGTACGTATTTGTTCTATGCTTCTAGGTTCCCTCCTCTCTGTCTCTGTCAGTCCGTCTGACTATGTTTGTGTCTCTCTCTCTCTCTCGTTATGTCTCTTTCTCTTTTTGTTTTCTCTCTCTCTCTCTCTCTTTCTCTGTCTGCCTCTCTCTCGCTCTATCTCTCTCTCTGTCTCTCTCTCTCTCCTCTCTCTTTCTTTCCTTCTCGCTTTCTCTTTCTCTCGCTCTCCCCCCACCTCCCCCTGATGCTGCACCACATGTCGATGTGGCTTGCCTTAGAGCCTTGGACCCTGGGCGGCATGTATGCTAAGCTTCCTCATGCCGCATGCACTTTTAGCTTGTTGGGGTGCATCTTAGTTCACCCTCAACTCTGCTTTGTCCCCGTTCGACTGCCGACTCCACGTCGAACCTGCTGTTGCAAGGCAGGTGGCAGAACTCTTCGACCACGGACTTCAACTGCGAAGTGGCATGTCCCAGCGCATTGTCATCGACTACTCCTCTCCAAACATAGCCGCTAGGCTTCTCCTGCAGGATTAAAGCTTGATCCTTGTCCATCTCAATCCTGAGGCTGCACCGCAACATACCGCAACCACACTCTAAAAACCCTAAACCCTAAACCACTTTGAGCTTCTGCAGGCGTGAGAGTCGAAATCACTTTGAGCCCAAGCAACCGCGTCCCTAGATTCGTCTTTGTTCCTATACACAGACCAACGGCCTTAAACTTGCCCTAAAGCCCTTTCGACTGCCAGCCATGGCAAGCTAAGGCCAAGGAGATGCATGTGGGCCACCTGAGGTCGACCATCCTCGGGGACACCATGGCCAACCTCTTTGAAGACTTGGGCCACGACGTGGTGCGCCTGAACCACGTGGGTGACTGGGGGACCCAGTTCCTCAGTGGGTTCAAAACCCAACTTTAATCAACTTGTTTTGCCTCTTATAACCGTAGTCTTATTCCGAAAGTTTGAACCTTAAGATTTTTTGCCCCCATGGGGGTATTTGGGAAGTCAGGTTCGGCATGCTCCTGGAGTACATGCGGAAGGAGGAGGCCCTGGATGGAGAGGCCTCGTCCATGGTCGTCAGCGACCTCCAGAAGTTCTACCGGAGTGCCAAGGAGGCCTTTGACGAGGACAACGACTTCCGGAAGAAACTCGGTTGGGCTTTGGGACATGATATATGTATATACATATATATATATATATGTTTATTTATTTCTTTCTTCATTTATGTATTTATTTGCTTATTTATAATAATATTAGATTATATTGTTTTGTTATGTTTTGGGGGTTTGTAAGGGGCCGATAATGTATTCATATTTTTCAAAGGGTTTAAAGGGCCAACCCAGGAAAGCCCAAACGAACGTGGTGGAGCTCCAGGGGGGCGCTGATTGGGCACGGACAGCCTGGAATCGCATCTGCGAGGCGAGCCGGAAAGAGTTTGACAACGTTTATGGTCGCTTGCAGATTCAAGGCCTGCAGGAGCGCGGGGAGTCTTTCTACAACGAGATGCTGCCCGGTGTAGTTGCAGAGTTGCAGGAGAAGGGCCTGGTGACCGAAAGTGATGGCGCCCTGTGCGTCTTTACGAATGTGTCCGAGACACCGCTGATTGTCCAGAAGGCTGACGGCGGCTTTGGCTACGACTCTACAGACTGTGCAGCAGTACAGCACCGGATCAGGGAAGAGAAGGCCAACCGGGTTATCTACGTCATCGACAACGGCCAGGAGCTGCACATGCGCATGGTCTTCAGCGCTGCGGAGCAAGCAGGATGGCTGTCAGAAGGCGCCCGGCTGGACTTCATGGGCTTCGGGCTGGTTCAAGGCCAGGATGGCAAGAAGTTCAAGACGCGGTCCGGGGAGGTCGTTCGCCTCAGGGACCTCCTGGACGAAGCCGCAGACAGGTCGGAGGTCGAGCTCCGCAAGCGCGCGGAGAATGCAAACATCCTCCTGGACGAGGAGAAGGAGGCGCAGCTCAAAGAGAACGCCGAGAGCATCGGCGTGGCCGCTGTAAAGTATTTCGACCTTCGCCAGAATCGGAACTCCGACTACCGGTTCTCCTACGACTCTTGGGTGGCCCAGTGGTACCCTTTCCCCTCTTTTTGTTTTTTTTTTGTGGGGGGGCTACTGGGCTACCACTTGGAGGTTCATCGTACTTGTTAGCCAACGATAACTGTACTTGTAACTGTACTTGTAGTCATATTAGGGCACTTAAGGGGCAGATAAGTGGGTTATAAGTACAGTTGTAGTTGGTTAATAAGTACCCTAAACCCTAAACCGTTGGTTAAGAAGTGCCATGAACCTCCACGCAAGGATTCCATGCTGGATCCCAAGGGCAACACCGCAGTGTATGTCCTCTACGCCTACGCGCGGATCGCGGGAGTGCTCCGGAGGGCTGACTTCGAGGTGGCTACATCCCCCTTGGGAATTACTATATTTTTTGAAACATTTTTGTTTATATAAAACCCAAGAGGATGTTTTTTTTTAATTTTTGTTCATTTAAAACCCAAGAGGATATATTAAAAATAGTATTTCTGTTGAGTTACTCAGGGGAGTATAGGTGAGCTCCCTCTCCACGACGGACCTGGAGTTGACCGAGGCCCCTGAGAGGGCGCTCGCCCTTCGCCTCCTGCGCCTGCCCGACGTCATTGCGCAGGTCGAGGATGACCTCTTTCCCAGTAGGCTAGTGGATGCTCAGCTGCTATCCCTAAACCCTAAACCCTAAACCCGAAACCCGAAACCCGAAACCCGAAACCCGAAACCCTAAACCCTATCTGTGGGAGGTCTGGTAGGCCTCGTAGGCGGCAGGATTTGAGAAGTTAGGGTTGTCCGACTGATTGTGAGACGATGTAAGGATCACATGTACGGTCTCGCGACGGACTTCTCCTCCTTCTACACCGAGTGCCCTGTGGTGGGGTCGGACCAGCAAAAGAGTCGACTGATCCTTTGCGAAGTGGTTCGGCGGCAGCTCGCTTATTGCCTTGGCCTCTTGCGCATTGAGCCCTTCGAGCAGCTTTGAGTCAGCTGCATGTCCCCCATGGCAGAAGCACGGCTAACTCATGTGCGTACAACGTAGGCCTCAAAAAGGATAAAGCGCTGCCAACATGCTGGCTGCAGCTTGCCTTGCTTAGGGCATGCTGGGTTAATTATAGATCGTCCTTGAGCCATGTTCGTGGCAGGCTTTGCAGCCCTGGCTTATAATTATACATAGTAGGCACCGGAAGCATCTTCGGTTCGCAATCACATCTTCCAAGAGATTCGCGATTCCGATGTGGTATGGCTGTTGGATGTGCCATTTGACTGAACAGGGCCTGCGAAGCTTGCCGATGCAGAGCCCATGCATTTGTTGCGGGGTTGCAGCGTGGAAGAATAAGTTTTCGACATACGTTTTCAGCAGCATCTGCTCTCACATGCTCAAAAACAGTCCCAGTCACTGTGCGGGAAGTGGGAGTTTCAAATGACTTTGCAGCTTTGTGGTTTCAGTGCCCAGGAACCCAAAGAGCCCAATACCTCCTAAATAAGGGAATATGCCTTCAATTATAAAGGGGTTCTGAGTATAATATAAGGTATCTTCCTTATTTAAGGAGTATTGGGCTCTTTGGGAAACTGGCTTAAGGTTCTAGGAAGCCTGCCGGTGCAGCGCTTGCATCATTCTGCCAGCAACCAGTGGGATTACAGCTGTAAATGCTGCTTTGTGTGCGACTTGAAGGTCAGATACTGAAGGGGCTGGGATTGCCCCTAAACCCTAAACCCTAAACCCTAAACCCTAAACCCTAAACCCTAAACCCTAAACCCTAAACCCTAAACCCTAAACCCTAAACCCTAAACCCTAAACCCTAAACCCTAAACCCTAAACCCTAAACCCTAAACCCTAAACCTAACCCTAAACCCTAAACCCTAAACCCTAAACCCTAAACCCTAAACCCTAAACCCTAAACCCTAAACCCTAAACCCTAAACCCTAAACCCTAAACCCTAAACCCTAAACCCTAAACCCTAAACCCTAAACCCTAAACCCTGTTTGGTGTTGCGGGTTGAAGGGCCGCTCACCACTCTGGAGTTCCGAATCGGTTCCCCCTGTCCCCTGCTCAAAGGAAGGGATCGAACGATGCCTGAACACAATTGGAAAGTTCTGTCTTAAGAGCACTGCTTCCAAGCAGCACAAACAATCATAAGGCCTGAGTGACAATGTCTACCCTCAACCCTAAGCCCGAGACCCTAAACTTTCCTAGAAGGCTGGCCTCACATTCTGCCATCGTTTCTGCCCCAAGAGCCTACGCCTTGCAAGGGCCTCCAGAGCTCCGTCGGCTCCAGACGACCACCACATGGATAGTTCTCTATATTAGGGTCCCTTCTTGGTCCCTAAATAAAAACATAAATAAATAAATATATATCTATATATATGTCTATATATGTATATATATATCTCTATATAGGGTACGGCGCCCTTTTTATACTAACTGAGAGAACTACCGGCATGCGTACAGAGGCTTCCTCTGCGCCTGCTGCTTCGGGAGCTGCGACTCCGAGACTTAGCATTGCGCGACCAGAGCGCAGTGAGCCCCAGAGGGCTTTGGGTTTTAGGGTTTGGGGTTTAGGGTTTAGGGTTTAGGGTTTAAGGGTTTAGGGTTTAGGGTTTGTTTAGGGTTTGTTTAGGGTTTAGGGCTCATAGTCAGTAGTCCGGCGCGTTTCGTTTTTTCCAATGCAACTACCAGCACAACTGCACAAGCGCCATGTCCTTTGCCAGAACAACGACCACAACAGTCCCGTCGGCTTTGCTTTTCTTACAACTGTACCGTACTTACAGCACGTGCACTGCTTCTACAGTTCTTGCGGTTGCTCTTCCTCCAGTCCGCTGCTGTGACCCCCGAAATCAGGTCCCTACACCCCTAAACCCTAAATCTAAACCTTGAGGTCCAGCTGCTTGTCAACGCCATCTCGTGGCTCCGTGTGGCCCGGCGGGATGCGCCCGCGGACCTGGAATTTTCTCAGCATCAATTGGGATGGTGGGTTGGGTTTAGGGTTGAGGGTTTAGGGCTTAGGGAAGTTTAGGGTCTAGGGATGTTCATCTGGCATGTTCTGTCATGGATGAGGAGAGCCTGGGTTCAAAAAAGGGTTTAGGGTCTAGGGTTTAGGGTTTAGGCGCTCGTCTTGGCATGGTGGGCTGCAGGCCATTCGGGAGGCGGCGTCTGCCCGACAAACCTGAACGGGGTGGCCAAAAAACCTCTAAATCCTGGCGCCTGAAACGTACCTGAAGGTTCATGGGTAGTTCTACGTAGGGTTATTAAATAGGTACCCTATTTGAGGTTATAACCAGCTATACATGATAGTTACCCGACTTGTATCCCCACATGTGAATACCCTTGAACCTCCAAGTAGCCCCTTAAACCTAAGCTTCTGGGAGGTTCATAAGTAGCTATAAGTAAGGAAACTAGACTCATAACCTTACTCGGGGTACTTCTAACCCTACTTGTAACTGCCCATGAACTTCCAAGTAGCCCTAAGCCTCAAGCCCTAAACCCTGAACCCTAAACCCTAAACCCTAAAGGGAAAAAACCTAAACTCTTATGTGAGACTCCTTTCTAAGGTCCGACCTGGAGGTGCTGGAGCTCGACGGGACCTGTGCTCAGCTGACTGGGTCTATTCAATAGTCGAGTGCAGGGCGCCTCGGAGAATAGTTCCGCTGGGTTTAGGGTTGAGGGTTGAGGGTTTAGAGTAACAGCTCCTGAATAGGCATGACAGCGCCCCCGAGTATAATCCTTATCAAGGACTGTTCGTATACGAGGGAACATCCCAAGTTCTTACGTCGGGCTCAGGGCCTTCTAAGGCTTATAGGAAAACATAAGAAGTGGTTTGAGGTGGTCGATGAACTGAGGCCCCTTATGGCCAGTACTCCCTAGGCCCTTAGCTGCCGTGAGAGACCTCTGCAGACCTTTCTGCCGTACCCTGCGTGTTGGTTGCAAGGGCTTGTAGGTTGACGGCCTCCAAACCTTCAGAAAGTTGATATCCCAATAAGTGGGTTTCCGAAAATAGGGGTGCCCTTTTTTGGGGTTCCTTTTTCAGGGGATTCTATTCTATTTGGGTGCATAAATGGGGTACCCCTAGGGCTTGTGTCAACTCTGAGGAACCATCTGACCCAGAACGCAGCACGGAGCTAAGCCTTGCAACCGGCGATCAATGGGAAGTGGCTGATCCAGTAGCCCTAAACCCTAAACCCTAATCCAGTAGGGTTTCGAGCTTAGCTTAGGAGAGGTTCTTAGAATTGGACCCTCTTCACTCAAAGCACGGCCCAGAGAGCCGGTTAGGGTTTAGGGTCTAGGGCTTAGGGCTTAGGGCTTAGGGCTTAGGGCTGAGGGCTGAGGGCTGAGGGCTGAGGGCTGAGGGCTGAGGGCTTAGGGCTTAGGGTTCAGTCCTAAGTTTCAGATCCCTCCGGTGATTGTGGGGTCTGGTTTGTATCACACACGCAGCTGGCGAGATTGTTCGGAGCCCAGTATTCAAAAGGGTTAGGAATTCCGGAGCACCCTTGAAGCTCGTGATGATGATCCATGATACGGGTCAAGGCGCATTTCCCAGTATCAGGGTATTTGCGAATGATGGTTGGACCTGTGTTAAGTATGGGTTTTTGGTTAGTCTACATTGTATCTAGCTCGCCTCCATGAGTTCGGGAAACATCGAGGATCTTCAATATGAACCACCTGGGGTCAAACGGTGAGCGTTCAACCCTAAGCACCTCTTCCCCGACAACCCCGGAAGCCACGGCTGAACCCTAAACCGTACATTGTACCCTGAGCAGCTGGGGAGAAGGTTCCGAGCCTCACGCCTCTCCTCACCGAGCTCCGGACGCTGCAGCGGCTGTCCCTGTGCGCCTGCTCAGTTGCGTACCGTTGGGAGGTTCACGGGTAGTTAGTGGGTTGTAAGTTGGGCAACTATACTTATAACCTTACTTAAGGTACTTCTGACCCTACTTATAACTACTCATGAATCATGAACTCCCAAGCGGTATGAGTCGCAGTTGGGGTGGCGCGAAAAACTACAGATATGGTTCAATGAGGCTGCTCAAGCTTTATCGGGCGTCATAGGCTCCAGACTGCGCAAACTCGAGCACCCGTCGGCGTTAGTGTGGAGATGTCGGTGGCGCAGGCTAATGAAAGGTGTGCATCCGAACTGGACCATACGGCATGGCTGGAGGCACCCCCCCCCTCCACCTCCCAAAGTTGAACCAACCAAAAGATTGACGGCTCGCCTGGGCTTGCTGAGCCGTGAGACTCGAAATCGCCATGCCCTCAAGACCTCCACTAGACCCATTGCTTTCAGGTCACGAAACAAGTTGCGACATTTGGGCCGCTGACCCGGTTTGGGGGTCTGCAAGGTGAGGAGGGCTCGTGAGTTTAGGCAGCTACAGACTCTTGAACACAGTCTCCTGCAAATCGTTGTGCTGGAGCCGTTTCGCATTTTTCCTCGAGCCTCGACCACCCAGAGCCCACATCACTGCGTCATCATGCTGCTGGCATCCCTACTTGTCTGCAAAAAGCCTGCCGGAGTTGACCTGAAGTACCAACAATGCAGCATCTCACAGCTATGTGTCATGTCAGCAATGCCAGTTTTTGTAAGAAGTGTATGGACTCCCGCCGTCTTGGACAGAGACAGTACCGACTGACAGGCGGTTGGACTCAAACCAGAAGTACACTGGCTCCAGAATCAACATATGGTATAACTTAAGTTTGAAAAGACTGCTGATAACGATAGTGGGTCCATCAAATAATTGCAATTCAACACGACTCGTACAGCAATCCCCTCTTGTCTGCCATGGTCGCATGCTCAGCCAGTTTGCGGACCAGCCTGAACCAGGAGCCAGGCAGTCATGGGCCATCCCTCCCAATTCTATGCCCCCTAAACCCTAAACCCTAAACCCTAAACCCTAAACCCTAAACCCTAAACCCTAAACCTTCCCTGCCAGGCGCCCTGGGCACGGCCTCAGGAGCTGATGGAAGGCCGCTGGGCTTCCAAGCTTCCGTTGCAA